TCAAGAAAGTATTTGCTTGTTCTTAAGTGTGAGATTACTGACGTGGGGATTATGAGGTAGATACTATGTATAATATTTTGACTATACGCCCTTTGTTTCTGTAAACTCCCAGTGCTCATGACGAGAAACAATTTAACTCAGTAAAAGGAGCAAACTTCACTGTCTGATGGGCTAGACTCATCACTTACTAGTTGCCAGGCTTCATGGGCACTTTATCTTCTTGAGGCTGCTTTTCTTTTGTGTGCAGTAGATCTGATTCTCAAGGCCATTATAACAAAATTTTTGTATCTTTTAAGTCACATTCACAAATACTATGGCATAGGATTTCCCCATAAGATGCATGCAAGTAAAATCGAACACTTATAAGCATCATCTTCAGACCCTTTCTTAATAATCACATATGTTAGGAGTAGGGAACAACCTAATTGAGGTTTAGGCCAGGTGCCATCACTTTTTATGTGATTTATTTCCTCTTCTGATTACTACCAGTGGTCCAAATTCATGTTTCATCAAAATGACATGGACCTTTGAGGTTTCTCAATACTGTATATGAATCCTGGAATCTATTGTAGTATATACACAGCCCCTAGAGACTTAGCATAGAGGGACTGTCTCATAAGTGTTAACTGCTCTCACTGTATTTAAGCATTATAATCATCAATATCATCATATGTACAAGTCTTGTCCTTCCACTGACTAATTTTGTGATCGTGGATCTATTACTTCAACTTTGTGCATCTCAGAGAAAGTTAATTCTGCCTTTTCTATGCATCTCACTGAGTTGATGTAAAGGCCAAATAAAGTAAAATGTGTTGTATGAGAGCAAATGAAATAATATATATTGTGTGAAAGCACTCTGTAATTATAGAGAGCTGTATAATGGCTTATTTTATAATCCGCAAATCACTTACCTAAGATATGAGACCTTAAACAGCTAAACATTTTAATGAACCGCCAGTATCGATTAAGGGAAGACTCAAAACTGTTAGTAAAAGGGAGAGAGCCAGGCATTTGATGCTTATTTGGGATTCCACACATCTAAACAGATATCATTGAAGCAATTTGAAATTGTGGAAATCTTTTCATTTTGCAATAAACTAAGTAAGCTCTGAATATTTTATTTAGAGTCCCAAAACCAAGGTTTTTTTTTTCTTTTTTTTTTTTTTTTACACCACTCTGATGCTGGTGGACATCTGGGTTTTGTAGGTTTTGGCCATCACAAATGATGCTGCTTCGAGTATTTCCAGCTCCGTGTGTTGGTTCACATGGTCCCTGGTCTGTGTGGAGTAGTGTGCTAATAGTGAGCTTCTCTTTCATTTTCATTAATGGGGCCTAACTTTTTTCCAGGTTGCACCAATTCATGCTTCTTTTCCAGCAATTCCCCAAATCTTTGTCAACTTTTGAAATTATTTGTCTTTTAAAATAAAGTCATCTGGTTAGTATTTTCGAAAAACCAAGATTTTAATCCATTGAACACTGGTCTAATGTGTTTATCTTAGGGATACTTGAAATGACTTTTGTGTTTGAGAGATACCAAGGAAATCTTGAGTAAGCCTTAAAATATGTGAAATATTTATTAGGTTAAAATGTTTGAATCTAAAACAGAAAAATACATTCTTAGCTTGGCCTGTGCCCTTGATGATTTGGCAAACTGTCTCTCTCCTTTTCTTAACTATTATTACTATCCTTTTTCTGCAGGTTTTTTTTTTCTCCTTCTACTGGGACATGTAGAAGTTTGGGGGAGGAGGTTTCTAGGACGAGTCTGTGTTGCATCAAAATTGCATGAATCTAGATGTCTTTGAGATAGGCTCTGATACAGTCAGCCACATAAGTAAAGAAGGTGAAATCCAGTGGTGTATTTACCAATTCTGCACATCTATTTGCAGTCTCTGAAAAATACAAAAGGATCCATTGCTAGGAAGGTTGGTGATTGTACATATCTGTGTCCTTAGCCATTGAAATCCTCCTTTTTGGAGAGCAATGCTGAATTTGAAACCTTCTGGGGAGTCGCAGTGCAGAAGAAAGAAGGTAGTTGAGAATTGAAAGGACTTTAGTGTGTGAGGCAGAAGCATAAGACACAACTCAGAGAGAGTGAGAGTGAAGTGGAATCACCAATATATCTCTAACACAGGAGAACAATTTGTTTTACAAAGAAAGAAAGGACATTTTATGTAAAGATTGAACACTGTGACAGACTGATTTGTATAGAGACAGTGATATCTGGCCAGTGGTTTCCAATTACAGTCTTCTCTGGGCAGTGAGAATTCTATTCTAGCTACAGATATTCTTAGGGAAAGTCTGTGGTTTTAGGGGCCTGTTTTTGAGGAAATGAATTATAAAGCAGCTCAATTGTCGGCAACAAATTTTTTGACAGTGACTAGAAAAGATCAGTTTTTATCCAAAGTAAATAATGTAGGAAAGAGAAAACAGAGCTATTGAAAAGGAGACACAATTCACATTATTTGTAGAAAATATGATTCTGTACTTCTGTACTGTTGGAACTATTAAGAATTCAATTTGCTGTTCATATAAATAATAATTATCGCAATTCAGTGACTTTTATATGTATTAGCAATAAAATTTGAGAATATTATATGAAAAAGTATATTAATGGTTGCAACTGAAAATATAAAACACTTAATAAAAAGCTTATTACAATTTATAAAATAAAACTTAAACGCATGGAACAATGTGTGTAAATTTCTTTAAAACTTTAATTAGATGTCTCATTTAATTCCAATCTAAATTTCATCTGGAAATATAAAGAAGTGAATAATTAAAAATTTAAGAAGGAATAATGAGAGCAATGTCCTCTCCAGATAGTGAAATGAATTGTAATATGACAATTTAAAACAGTGTGGTGCTTGCACAACAGTTGACTGAAAGGCCAGGGGAACACAGCAGGACCCCTGGACCAGCCCACGGACAGGATGGTGGTTTTCAGTTTATTTCAGAGACCCTAAAAATTCCCAGAAGTTCCTTTAAGCCATTACAGGGAGTAAATATGGGGGGCTTTGAGCTCTTTCATTTCCACCTCAACAAAAACAGCTCTGCTTTGGTGCATTTTATATATTGAGTTCCCACATTTATGTGTTGGTTTTACATCCAAAAGAGCTTTCATTGCCCCAATATTAATACATGGTAGAGGATGCCTCGCTAACAATGGCTGACTTATGAAACATATTATGTTGGGGAATCTTACTAATAGAAAGTGGGGGCTTCAGTTAGTGCTTCACCTTGGTACAAAAAGATAAACTCCAGATGAATTTAAAAATAAAAACATAAAATAAAATAAAATAAAAATAAAAATAAAAACATAAAGATACTTGAAAGAAATATTTGTAGGTATTTGCATGCTCTCTAGAGAAAAGGAATTTCTAAACATAAGAGCAGTAGGAATCACAATGGAGAAATCTGATGGAGTTGTTAATATGAAAATAGAAAACTTTGCATATCACCCTAAAATATCCAACAAGTAAGCAACAAAAGAAATGAATATGTGTTATTAATATGAAAAACAATATCATTCTTATTTTATAAAAACCTTTTTACACATTAGTAAGAAAAACAGAAATATCTCATGTCATATTCTATCCCATATGATGTTCATTTAAAAAAATCTTTATCAGTATTTGCAGAAGTATAATAAAAATAACAGTGAATTACCTCTTAATTTGAACTACAGAGTTGGCAAATATTACCAAAAAGATAATGCTTAATACTGATCAAGTTGTGGGAAAGGAAACAGACTCAGTTCTGAGAGTATAAATTGTTAAAATCTTTCTGGAAACAATTGGCAGTGTGTCGAGAGACATGACAGAATTCACATTCTTTGACTCAGTAATACTCCTAGAATGTTACATTCAATATATTGTTTGGAAATTTATATTTATTAGTAGAATTTTTCAAATGATGTAAATACCTATACTTCGCGAAGTGTTAATTATGATGCCCATTTTGAAAAATTAAAATTACATGGAGAAAAGTAAGCTGATAGTATATATATGTACTTTATGTAATTATAATTATATTAAAAATAATATGCATGAATAAAAAAAATAGTTAATAATCTTGGTTGTAGGCTTGTGGGTAAATTTTGTTTTCTATAATATAGGTGTGAGTTTGCATTTTTCTAATTTTTGCTATCAGAAAGCCAGATTATTTTAAATAATTATCCATGGCATACTTTAAAATTGGATTTCCTGTTTTGTCACGATTATATCAGGATTGCCCAAGCCCGTCTGAACCTGTTTTAATCATCTGAAATATTTATTGGACCTATTTCTGGAAAAATCTTACAATAAAAAAATGGTGGCTATTCCCACTCCCTTCCCTGCTCTAGTGCACTCTTGACCCCAGTTTTCAAAGAGGCAGTTACAAGATGGAAAACAATGGGAGGAACATACTAAAATTCAACATAAGTATTGCATAATCATGAAAACATATCCACATACTAATTGTATTTGAAAATGTCATGAAGGATAATCCAGAAGCATAATTTTGCAGGACGTATGAAACTGGAGCACCTCATAGCCTGAGATTGTTGGGGTCAACGGGCAGTTACTCGATCTAACGCCTGGGCCTGGAAGCTTAGGACGCCGTTTCACTCTGACTAGGGCTTCTTCGCACCGTAGCGTTTGAGTATGGCTGCCTGTGTGTCTGAGTCATGTCTCTGCCATGTGTCACATTATTTTGGTGGTATCAATGTTTTGTTTTGTGAAGGTAATTTCTCTCTATCTTTTGTTCTAGTAATGTTCACACAGCTAGTTCAGTGAAGCTTGATGGCACCCAGGACCCTCTGCTTCTCTGTCTCCTTTCTCTGTCTTGCAGGAACTGAGGGGTGGCTTCTGGTGTTCTGTGTGGCTTCATCATTTCCTTCCTGCCTCTCATCCACTTCATGATGTAATTCTTGGCACTTTTACTTCCTTTGTAGAGTAGGATGTGATGTCATAGAGAAGGGGACAGGGCTATCCAAATTCTCTCAATTGCTGGGAGGAGCTGCCCAGGTGTGCTGAGGGGCCTGTACTCAGGAAGAGAAACAGGGAATCCTCCACAGTGAGTAACCCCACTTTTGAGTGCACCCAAATTTCTGTTAAAACATTGCCCAGTACACTGGAGTTTCCTCTTCAGCTCTTTCTGGATTTAATCAGTTTGCCTTTTGGACATTCCCAGTTCAGCTCAATTTTCCTGCTTTCTCTCCTTTCTCCTCTATCGTCTTCTTTCTGCCATCCTGTGCCTCTCCCTGCCAGCTCCCCTCTTCCTTGCTTGCTTACTTATGTATGTCTGTGTCTACTGACCTTCTGCCCATATCTTTTATGAGAGACCATTAGTAACCCCAGCATTGCCCATCATTTGGGGGGTGATGCCCCCCCTGTATATATAGTCCATGTGACCACAGCATCTCCTGTTAGTAATTCATAAGTATGCACTGCTGTACTTACACTTCTTCTTATTTTGAAAATTCTGTCAGCATTTTTTTGTTTTCATGTCTATTTCTTTCCCTCCCTTCTTTGTGATCTAATCTTTCCCCTTTTCAGCTCTATCGTGCAGTTTCCTTCTTGCCTTTTTTTAAACCAATATTTTTATACTTTAGTCCTCTTCCCTATACAGCTATGCTTATGTTTCTTTTTCCCCCTTTCCCAGTTTTCATTTCAGTTCTCCAGTGTCCTCTGTGAGGACAAGTTTTCTTCTTTTCCAGTGACATACTTGTCACCATACCCTCTTTCTAGCATTGCTTGTATTTCTATATTCTTTAAAGAACCTACCAACTATGACTGAGGGACTGATCTAGACTGGGAAAAAATGGGGGAAATTTCCTGGGAACTAGAAAGGGACAGCAGGAAAGGGGCCCTAATGGTGGGGTGGGGCTGCCCGTATGTAACTCATTGGAAGATCTTAAACAGTACCTTTGCTAGTAACTAGTTGAATTTGACCATGGGTAGCAGGAGGGATCACAGCTATTTTGAACAGATTTGGAAGCCGCCTCCATTTTTAGTTTCTAGTGTACTCTATTAATTCTTAATCGTTATGATCCTTCTAGTAAATAATCACAAATTAGAACTCTAGAATCGTTCAGTTGCGTGGGGCCATGCCTTGTGCGGAAGCTCCTGTGCAGCATCTTTAGTCACCGTGAAGATGTGTGTAGACTTGTCTCTTGCACCCAGAGGTGGTCCCTCTAGTCCCTGTTGGTGAGCAGTGTGGATGCTGCTGTTTACAGCTTTCAATACATATAATGAAGTCCCTGGATAAATAAAGGAGCCTGATTTCCAGGGCTGAATGTCTAGTGCCTGTGGAAATAACTGTGTCCCATGGATTCCCCATACTTTGTTTAAAAGAACTCCCTTGCGCTCAAAACTAACTAGGACAGAAGGGGAGAGGGAGCAAATGGGGCCCAGTTTATTAGGCTGAGGTGGGCTGAATGGGAAGAGGAAGGGGCTTACTTGAAATTCATTGGAAAAGGCAAAAGAAAGGAAACTGAGCTGAACTGGAAAACACACTGTAATGAGTTACTTGGGTTTCTGTATGCTGCTTCCAATTTTGGCCATGAAGGATTATTTTTTCTGATTTTCTTTTAATGTAAAAGAGGCTGATCAAGATATAAGTCCATGAGGTTATTTCGGGCCAGTACTTTGTTCTCTGCTATTGGTAGTATTCAGGCTCCATGTTTCCAAGGTCCTAGAAATTTAGGAAACATTTTAACAGCCTGAAAGCATGTTTTTAATAATAAAATACTAGCAATTTTAATAAAGGAAATTATATGCATTTAATAACTTGGTCTTTTTAGGTTTCACATTTTCTTTTTTTGGTATATACACACACCCTTGTGTGACATTTTTTTGAAGAATGGCCCCTATATGTTGCAGAAATTGCCATAAAGCTCCAGAAAAAAAAAAGAAAGTAAGGTGTCCATTCTTACTTTGGACACCTGAGCTGTGTGATGGGACCTTATTTTGATATAACAGCTCCTTCCCCGGTAAATTTTTAGGAAACATTGCATGACTCACACATGTTTTCATCTTGTATGCTTCCGTGTAATAATCTATGAATCTCATGTTTATTTTTATTTTTCAGGCACTAGAAAAACATCCCAACTCACCAATGACAGCAAAGCAGATATTGGAAGTCATTCAGAAAGAAGGGTTAAAAGAAACAAGGTCAGTATTTATATTTACAACATATCCTGTTTTCATTGATTAATAATTGCCACTAATTGCAAAGCAATAGATGTATCTCGATTTTGATTTATAGTTGATTGTGAATTAAGTAACTATCTACAAATTCCTTTGTGACTGCCAAATATTTGGATGACCCAGGATTTCCTATGAACGGCTTGTTGCCTTAATAAATTATATTAGATGGACTGGTATAGACTGTACTTTGTTAACAAAGAACAGCATATGTGAATTAGCCCCTCGTTGGAGTCACTCCTCTTCCTCTCCCTTATAAGAAGAGATTGTGTTTCTCAAAGTGAATAGTGAAAGAGAAATACTTTTACAGGCTTCGTAGATAGGACCCAGGATATAAAGATGAGCTTACTCAGATAAAATTCAAAGTGCCCGTGAATATGGTTGAAAATTTAGCCCTCTTATATTTAGAACTTCTCTATTTGGAATGTCATTATTAGCTATTGCACCTTTTAAAAAAGACAGCAGTGTTATTGAGATAGGATTCATACAGTATAAAATTCATCTTTTTCAATGTACAATTCAGTAGTTTTTAGTATATTCACAAAGTTGTGCAATTATCACTACTTTCTAATTTTAGAACATATTCATTGCCCTGAAGTGAAACCCCAATACCCATTAGCAGTCACTCCCCATTTCCTATTCTCCCAACCCTGTCGACCACTGATCTACTTTTCGTGTCTATGGATTTGCCTGTTCTGGACACTTCACATAAATGGCATTATGTAATATGTAGCTTTCTGTGACTGGCTTGTTTCGCTTAACACATAATGTTTTCAGGGTCCATCAATGTTGTGTCATGAATCAGTACTTCATTCCTTTTTGTTGCCAAATAATATTCCACTGTATGGATGAACCACATTTTGTTTATAACAATCCTTTATTTTTATCAAGTTTACGGTTTGGGTTTTAGCCAACAGTTTAGGTAATATTTAGATAATATTGCTCAAGGAGGAAAAAAGTTTGTAAGGGAATAAAATAACCATAGAGTTGTCATATACGTGAATGTAATCATCTGTGATACATAACAAATTTCTTTGTATGAAGTTGTCTACCTGCCAGTCACCAAGCATGCAGTGGTTGTAACTTGGTGAAAATTCAACCTGCCGAGCTACCTTTTGCATGTTTTGACTGATATTGAGCTATTACTGATGAGAGAAATGAATATCCTCCTAAGGCCAACTTTTCCTAAAAAATTGGCGGTACCTACAACTCCCCCAACTGTGAAGTGTGCGTAATAGCAGCCTCTGCCTGTTTAAAATGCATCCTTTGGAAGTTCGAGCCATGAACATCACAGTTGAATGGGGCAGAGGACACCTAGGCTCTAATTTTCATGTTTGTTTTAGAGGCTTTTTCTGCCTGTTCTGAAGAAAAGAGACTGAGATAATGTAGCTACTCTGGGTTTGCAATCATTCTTCTCCCACGAAGTGGAGGCAGGAAGTGGCCGGCAGAGCCTCCCAGCTCTCATAGAGGAGACCCTGATCTTCTAAGCTAGATGTCAGTGTCAGGAGTTAGGGAACAAAATGGGGACACCTGGAAATTAATTTTCTCTTTGCTGCCTGTCAAAAACCCTGAAAATATGTATGCTATTGAGAGAGCACTGAAAATGTTTGCGCTACAGAAGAAAAGGGGGGGGGGGTAAAATCTTGATATCAACTCCTGTCGAATGTGGGCTCTGTGCCGGAGGAATCTGCCAGTGCAGACGTAAAAGCATATCCTATAAGCAAACACTTGAAATTTGTTCATTGTGAAATTCTTCTCCACAGGAGTAACTATGCTGCTATCAGTTGTTACAGACCTTGAAATATAAAATCCCTGTACTAAGCGGGGAGGGGGGTGGTAAATGAGGGTAAACAGGGTCAAATAGACGGTGATGGAAGAAGAACTGACTCTGGGTGGTGAACACACAATGTGATGTACAGATGATGTATTACAGAATTGTACACCTGCAACCTATAGAACTTGACTAACCATTGTCACCCCAATACACTTTAATTTAAAAAATAGTTAAAAAATAAAAATAAAATAAAATCCTTGTACCATGGCTCTGAGCAGCATTTTCATTACACTTAATATAACAGCATTATTTCATACTTTTCAAAATGCTGGTCTCCCCAGAATGGTACGGTCAACGGTTTTAAGCATACGTAATTATGCTAACAAAACAAAAAAAACAGTGTCTTTAAAGAGTAAAGAGCAATAGTACCTGTAAGGAATCCACAAGTTGAATAAGCAAAGAAAGAGACCATAGTTCTTTTAAAGTTCTATTTCTTAAAACCAGCTGTACATCGAAGAGCCTCAGACCATGCATTTTATGTTCTCATTTCTAAATTTCTTTACATCTCCTCCCTCCTGTCAATGGGGACCTGTTACTGGTGCGTCTGTGACCCCTCTTCCCTTGTTTTCTAGTTCTAGTGTGCGTATTAGGATCATCTCTAAAATAAAAAAATAAAAGGATATAGATTTTGAGTGAGTTTTGGGTTTTCCTACATGTTATGTATGTCTTAGGGAGCAGATTCTGACATTTATTTTGCCTAGTGTACCGTTTTGCTACCTTCCAAGCTCTTAAATGTTTTCCAAACATTTAAGGTAGCTGAGCAAATGAAGTGTAACTGTATCTATTTTTCTTAAGGAGAGTTACATTTAGAAATTCCGTCATACTAAGGTCACACATAGCTGTTTAATTTCTAGGTATTTACTAATGACGTGTTTTTCAAGAAATGCAGGTACTTGTGATATGCCTAGTTAAATGTGGGGGAGTGATTGTGATGGTAACTTATGTGGCTACAACCTTCTGGAGGCCTCGTCTATGGATGAGAGAGAGGTCACGTGAACAGTCCTCCCCAAAACAAACCCACCACTGTATCTAGCATTCTAGAAGAGAGAAGACTGGGTTTTTAATTCATCATCCTTCCGAATCTGGCTTTAAAGTAATGTCACTCCTTTTAGGTACCCTGGGGGTCCTCTATTCTATGTGCAGGTAGAGTTCCCATAGCTTCACTGTACTATAATTTTGTCCTTCCTGCTGGTCTGTGAGCGCTTTAAGGGCAGGATACCTAACACTCCTGGCACTCAGCACATATGCAATAATTATTTGTTGAGTAAATAATCTTTGTTCCCAAGATGTTAATTTGCTGGTGCTTAGTGATGACTTTGGCTTGCATTTCGAGTTAGAAGCTTCTTTTTAACATTCCATGTTATGTTTTTCATCCTATCCAATAGTTGATTTTAATCAAAAGGAATCTAACAGTTTTATGGGAATTCCATTAAATATATGTGTCCTGATAGTCTGCAGCAGATTATCTGTGAACAAGGTTATTATACTGTTGCTTCTTTTCAAACACTGTAAGTGCTGCTGGTTTAAACATGTAATTTATATTAAAAAAAATACACCAATAGTTTTGGCAAAGCTGATGTGAATATTTGAATGTGTTCCGTATATGTGATATTGTTAATTTATTTGACTGAAATGAAATTCTTGACATTTTACGCTATCTTTTCCTCTTTTCAAGTGACACTTTAAATTACCTACTTTTCAGGAAGACATGATCAAAAGAGGACAAGTTTTCTATATCTTGTTCTGTGTATCTTCTTCATGTTATTGATGAAATGTGTAGTATATGATTAAATTCTATTTGGAAATGCCAGAATGAAATAAGTGTTTCCCATGTGGTTTTAAAAAGGTATATGAATATATAATAAATTGTCAGAAGGACAAATGGTTTTTATTGAAAAATTTATGCCACGGTTTTCTAGAATTTTTTTATGAAAATATATTTTGGTAAGTTTGAATTCCCTTCTGTATAATAGCATAGAAGATTTTATCAATACAATTATACTCTGGTCCATCTATATATTTGGTTTGCTGATTCTGAGTGACTATTTTCAGGCTTCTGTTACTTTGTATTTATGAGTTGTCAACCGTTGATAAAACGTAGCAGTTTGGAATACTTTTCCAATGATCAGAGTCTTAAAGTCGGTCAAACAGCCATGTTGCCTGCACGGAGGGGATAAAAATGTGCATATTTCAGTCTGCTGCTTTTGTGGATAGATATGTGATATGCCTCCTTGGACTCTTGGCTAAACATTCCCTCTTCCTCAGGGAGTTAGGGCGCTACTGTAGAATATGGGCTTGTCTACAGCAATTAAAACTATTTGTAGAAAAGGAGGAGTAACTCCGGTTACCATGTTGGTTTGGCTGACTTTTGGGGTTCCCCAATTTTGCTTTCCTGTTTTTGGTTTGCTTGTCCAAAAGTGATAATTCCTTTACAAAGAGGACTGAGGGATTTTTGATGCCTGAGAATATGTTTTTCTCCACTCATATAATAGTTAAATTGATGCTTCCAAAGAAATGTGCACTTATTTATAGTGACACATCCAGGTTGGAAGGTCAAGGACAGAGGCTTGTAGCACTTACTCACTAGAGCAGAATAGCCATTCATCAGTGAGGCATAATTTCTTATGTGCTGGGGATTATCATTACAAGTTACCTGTCATTAATGTAGCATGAACCGGCATAGGGTTTTCATATTAGTCGATAATAGGAATCAATTTTTAATGGAGGTGAGGCAGTCATAAAATAAAGTAAAAAATAAAACCTCAAAGCAATAAAAAAAAACACCTCACTTGGATTGGGGTAGGGCAATGTTTATGAGGTACGTTTTTACAATCTTACAGATGCCTTACTTAAAAAAAAATCTGTTAGATTTTGTCAGCCATTTACAAAGCAGCAGCCTATAATTACATATCACAGTAGGGATAATTGAAAAGGTTTATAAACAATCTCTGTTGTGTTAAGTTTACTCAGAATATGGACGTATTTTCGATTTTGCAATGTGGAACATGCAATTGACAACCCAAGATTTTTAATTATTCTGGTATTTGGTGAAAATTGTTTATTTCCACTGATCATTCTGAGAATAAATTTGTTTTTAGCTACTTGTCATAAGGCTTTGCATGTTTTCCATTTTGTAATCTTTGTTATGATAGGCTGAAATTAGGATCTCCACTTCGTGCAGTGGTTTATTAAAGATGTTGCATTTTTCTAGGGGAATAAAATGTCAGAAAATTCTATTACCATGTATAGCGACAAACAATAAAATTTCTTGGCATTTCTCTCAGTGAGATTTACGTTTCTAATTAGTGCTATAGGAGATGATTCTTTCTTGCTGCTGAAATGTTTTGTCTAGAGATAAGAAAGAAACACAAATAATTTCTACTGCAAAAATCAATTCTTATCTCCAGACTCCATGTTGGCATCCATCCTTTCAAACTGAAATGGTAGTCCAGTTTGTTTGTGTTGGGTCGTTTTAGAATTACAGTGTTAACTCACAGTGTCATCCCTGCCATTTGCTAACATCTAATCCTTTCATTGTGTAGATGGTGTGCACAGTCAGCTACTTAGAGAGGGATGAGTGAGACAATGATGTTATTAAACAGAAACATAGGACAATCTGCATATGTTTATGTGTGCTTCGGTGTGTACGTGAGTGTGTGTAAGCGAGCTCTTACAATAAATAATCTCTCAGTTGACATAAATTTTACTTGTTGTCATTACTCAAAGTGGAAATCAAAGTTAGAGTCATTCCTCTCTCCTCTACCCCCATGGTCTGTTGGTTCTTAGCCAGTGTCCTTGGCTACTTCCTAGCTATGCACACCTTTTTTTCTTTGTATCCCCGCTGTTTGCCATTCATTCTTTACACTTATAATTTCTTAACCAGATTAACACATTCTCTTCTTATCTGGTCTCTTTAAACACAGTTTCCCCATTTTAAATCCATTTTTTTTTCCTCAAACAAACACTGGCACTTATAGTAGCATTTCTTATCTGGTAAGCCATAAAATTCCAGAGGATATAGTGCAACTAGTAAACTATGAATCAAAAGATATCATCAGTTGTATGTTTGGTGATAATTAGATAAAACTGGGTATGATACTCTTTTCCTAATTACTTGCTGTCTAAATAAATGCGTGATATGCTGATAATGTAGGGTTTATGATATGAATAATGAAAGCTACATTATACCTTCCAGTTAGTTGAGATTTTGAATTTCCAGTCTGCTCATTTCTATATACATTTGTTTACTCCTAAAATATGTCACTTAAAATGTTGTTTGCTGCATTGCATGCTTTTTTTGTACATCATTAATTAGTTTTAAATTAACTGGTATAAAACTGATAAATAAGAATTCATAATTTATACATGGATATAACTAATTGTTTAAAAATAACTTTGTGTTCTGTCATTAATTAAACTATTTTTACTTAAAGTTACTTTTTTACAGTGAGCAAGTGATTGAAATAATTCTTCAGGGGGATGATAAGATGATATATTACTGTGAAAGCATTTCCTGAGTTAAAAAATAATTATGTGAAACATTACTCTATGAGGTCAGATTCCAGCTCCTCAGCACGCCCCTGCTTTGCCTGGACTTGGGCCATTTAAAGCCTTCAGCAGTGGTTCTCAACCTTCCTAAAGCCGCGACCCCTTAATACAGTTCTTCATGTTGTGGTGACCCCCAACCATAAAATTACTTTCGTTGTTACTCTATAACTGTAATTTTGCTACTGTTATGAATCATAATGTAAATATCTTTTTGTTTTCCGATGGTCTTAGGCGACCCCTGTGAGAGGGTTGTTCGACCCCCCAAAGGGGTCGCGACCCACAAGTTGAGAACCGCTGCTTTATAGTCAAGCATCTGATATTGTAGCCGCAGTTGACTACTTGCCTTTCACTGTGAAATGTTCCCCATTATCTTTTCTGATTTGGAAAGTAGCAGTAGAGCCCCACGAGGCATTCATGAATTGTGTCGTGTGTGTGTGTGTGTGTGTGTGTGGGGGGGTGTACTCACACACACTCACATGCACTTCGGATAGTTCTCACGTAGTTCTTGTTCCATGAGAAGCCTATACGATTGGGTTGCTGAATGGGGAGGAAGCACTTTTCAGATAGAATGCCTCATACTAATACACACAACACATTTAGAAGAGGACTCTTCCTGGGCCTCAGATTGAAGTCATATTAGTAGTGATTGGCTTAGTCTGCTCAGGATGCCATAACAAAATATCGTATACTGGATGGCTGCAACAACAGAAATGTATTGTCTCAGTTCTGGAGGCTAAGAAGTCTCATATCAAGAATGAGTGGGGTAGGTTTCTGGTGAGGCCTCTCTTCCTGGCTTGTAGACAGCCACCTTCTCGCTGTGTCCTCACAAGCCTTTTCTGGGTGTATGCGTGCAGAGAGAGAGAGAGTGAAGTCTCTGGTGTCTCTTCCTATAAGCACACTGTTTCTATCAGATCCAAACCCCATCCTTATGACCTCATACAGCTTTAATCACTTTCTCAGAGGCCCCCATCTCCAAATATAGCCACAGTATGGACTAGAGCTTCAGCATATGAATTTGAGGAGGGACACAAAAATTCAGTTCATAATTCAGATCATGATTCAGAATTTGGAACTTCGCATTTCTACAATTCATGCCACCGCATAAGAATATTTCTAGAATTTTTGAATATCTGATTCATCTCAGAATGTATTCATAACAAAATGCTTAATACTATACTGTGATTTGATGTTTTACACACTTTTAATATGTGTTTTCATCTGTTAGTCCTAACATATAAGCCAATAGAATATTTGAGTTAAGTTTCATGTTTAAATAAAATGTGTATATTCACATAATATAAATTGGTTTGAATTTTATTGAAGCCTTTGGTAAAAATAGCTGCAGTGACTGCATATAGCTCTCAAGGCATCAATATTCACTAAGGTATGCAGTTATAGCTATGAAATGACCACTTCTTAATATGCCTTTTTATTTTGTCAAGCTTTCGCCGTTCGTCCAAATAATTGAACAAAAAGTAATTAAGGTGATTTCAGCTTTATCAAGATGTAGGTATAATTTACTCCAGAAATACTGAACACTCTATAAATATTTCAGTGCAGAAATAGAAGCAGAAATGGATATAAAATTACATTGTATGTGAGCCTTTCTAAGGATCCTATGCAGGTGAAAATTGTTGGGATTTTATTTAATTTTTGTCTAAGTGGTTTTATCTCTTCATTTCATTGCTTGTGCCCTTAATTGCCACATGCCTAAATGATTTTAGTTTTCCTTCATTGTTTTGAATTTGACGACATAATTCAAATGCAAAACAGTTGATATGCTGACATGAGGACTTCTTTTTATAGTTGATTTGTTTTTAGAGGAATAAAAATCATGGCATTTTGTTAAACCAGGTTTTCTGAAAGCTACAGTGCATAATTCCTAAGAATAAGTGTTAGTTCTTTCAGGGCAATTAAGGACTACTTATCCTACAGCTCCTGACATGATTATGCAAAATCAAATTGATAGTTATTGACTGAGAGTTAGCATGAAATTTAGGTGATTTTTCTTGGCATTTTTTTGTTTGTTTGTTTTAAAATTAAGGCCTGTTCTGGGTGCTGCACAAGGCTGGTGTTCTGGCTGTGCTCTCTCTGCAGTCTGTTGGCAGTCACGTTCTGGCCAGGTTCAGAGTACACGGGTGTGTCATAGGCAAAGAGCTTTGCCAAATTAAAGGGCATTAATGAAAATAAAGTTGTGGAGATGTAGATATTTTAACAAGAAATTAATTAAACTAATACTGTACTTACTAAGTGCCCTCTCTGTGCTCACTGTGTAAGATCCTGGCGGGGGGCGGGGTGGGGGTTGTGGAAGCTTTAAGGCACGTATTTATTCCATTGACATTTATTAAGCACATGCTATGCTGTTGAGACTATAGAAAGTTGCTGGGTTCATAGATGAATAAAATGTAGTGCCTGCTTTTGAGGATTTAACAGCATGGTTCCAGACCATTCTTCACTGTGTAATTTCATTAGGTTTTTTAACCTCCTCTGAAGCATGTTTTAAGGCCAGTGCATAATGTGTTTTTTATTTTTATTTTTAAATTTAGGAATTTCTAAATTCTCCCTTGAGTTCTTAATAAAAAATGTGATGTCCCAACATGTCACGAAGTGTTGTCTTTCCATCACAAATATAAGCTCATTAAAGTAAGGAATGCTTATCTTCGTACCCATTACTTTATTTGGCATGCAGCATGTCAAGTAAATTGATGAGTAGGGTTGGTGATTAAAAGAATACTTAATATTTTTTCATCATTAACTTATATTAGACCTAATGCTAAGGACTTTACATGAAATATATTTTAAGGAACTTTGAGGTGGGTTGAGGATATCATATTTCCTGTTTTACAGATTGGGAAACTGAGGCAGGTGAGGTTAAGTTACTTGAGACAGTTCATCCATCTAGCAAGTGACAAATCTGAGATTATACATCTGATTCAGGACCCTTTGCATTTTACCTTTTTAAATACTTGTAGCCTGAGCCTAATCAAATTTTGGTTTAAGAGCTACTGGTTATATGTATTAAGTAAATTCTGCCCCTCCAATCCCTTTTAGCAGCTCTTCTGGCTAATTGTTGAATGTCTTAAAGTCTTGCCTGTAGGTAGGAATGTTAAGAGGTTTTCAGTTTATAGCCTAATTGTAAATAGGGTTGAAGGGTGAACAAAGCATTTCCATAACCCATTCAGATTTGGAGGATGCGAAGCCTCAAATGAACTTGAACTGTTATGATTGTCTGACATGAAAAGGATGACTGTCAGTGATGGGTTTATGGATAGCAGCAAAACATATTTGAATTGTAGCTTTTAACTGTGTGTGTGTGTGTGTGTGTGTGTGTGTGTGTGTGTGTGTGTGTGTGTATTTTAAAGAAGATAATGCTGTGAGGGTGTGAAACATACCTTGGGTAGTGGAAGAACCAAGAACTTCATAGGACTCTCACCATTTTGTTGTTGACATTGGATTTATAGATTGGAACTTGTTTCTGGGGAACTCGCTTACTGTGACTGGTCAAAGCATGGTTGGCAACAACATGTAGAGAATCCGAAGGGCAATTGTAGAGGGTGGCAGTTACTGCACTTGTGGAACAACAGAATGAAAATAGATGGGCCTGACTAAATCATGCTTAGGTGGGGGCGGGAGAGGCCAAATTATTAACATTGTTTTTTGGTTTTTTTTAAGAAATAGATCTATGGAAAGGAAAGGAGGCCCAAATGAATAAGTGAATATAGTTTCAGAAGCAGCATTAATGCATTTTTTAGGACATTTTCCTAAGTAGAGAATAATCACATGTACTTTACTGTTGACAGTAACCTGTATCATGACTACTTATCCATCCTTCCTCATCACATCCATCTGTGGTATTTCCACTAGGAGGCATAAAAACACTGCTATTCTCTCTCTTTCTTTTTTTTTTTTGTTTTTTAGTTTTACAAAAGACAGGTGTAAAATTTCCAGGCAGAATGGATTCTCCTTCAGGCCACTGCAGCTAGCATGAATTCATGACTTAGTTCCCTGGCACGTCTGCATGAAATACAACAATTTGTACAATGATTATTATTCAATTTGTTACTTAAATTGTGTTTATTGAAGGTGACCTGCTGGCTGCTATATATAGAAAATGACATTCATGAAGATTTAGAACAAGCTGTTTGCTAGTGGGATAGAGTAGCTCAAATCTTAAATGCTTCAGTGTTAGGATTAGCAAAGATTGCTTTGCAATCCCTCTCTACTTCCACCCCAGCAAGGAAAGTACTGAATCAGGAACACAGAGCGAACTACAATATTTGGAATTACTTAGAATAGTATTTCTTCTTAATTTTAAAAAATTTATTTTTCAGTTACCATTGACAAACAATATTATATTAGTTTCAGGTGTACAAAACACAAAACAACATAGTGATTAGACATTTATATATCTCACAAAGTGATAACCTCAATCAGCCTGTTACCCATCTGACACTGTAATTATTACAGTATTATTGACTATAATCACTATGCTGTATTTTATATCCCCATGACTATTTTTTTTCAATTATAGTTGACATTCAATATTTTTATTTTATATTAGTTTCAGGTGTACTAGAATAGTTTTTATTGCTCACTTCTTTTATCCATCCTTAATATTGGGGATGTTAACTTGATTTTTAAAATGAAAATTTATTTCATTTGCTTTGGTTAGACATCATTCTTTTGAGTCAGCCACTTATAATGTTTAATTTTCAACATTTCATAAATTAGTTTGTATATTGGATATATGATACATTCTTTTTTCATCAAAGAGTGATAAGGAGTTGTGAAATAGTGTCTGTATAATTTTGAGAAGAAAATAATCATCTAAATTTTATATCCAGTCTTTCCCTTACCCCATTTTCAAACACCTGGTCACCGAAGCAATTCCTCGCTTTTATTAGAAGTGTTCCGTGTGATAAGAGAATAGTGGGCTGAATAATTCCTACTAGCTGAGAAATCACACCCTTTGTCAGGGATATTTTACACTAGGGCCATTTTCTGTGGTCACCACTATCCCAATTTCAAGCAACGCTTTTGAGAATTTTATTGAAAGCAAGCTTCCTTAACAAAGGATATTCAGAGCAGCCTCTACTACATTAGGATGCATTCTAAGATGTGAAGGAAGTTTAAGTCAGAACTATAACATTTTGTTTTGGGTTAGGACTCAGCAGATCATATAGTCTTAAAGTTTTATTTTACAGATCAATAAACTAAGGCTTAGAGAAAATGAGTTGGCCACCATAACAGAATTAGTAAATATTTGACCCATCTTTAAAGTTAAAAGAGGCTGATCATTTCAGAATTTGAGAAGCATGTGTAAAAGCCCAGTAGTAAGTGAAGGCCAAGACCATATAGAAAAAGAAGATAAATCTTGTATTCTAAGGGACATGTCTTTCAATTGATTTTCCTGAAGTTATGGGTTTTCATTGATCCAGTCACCCTCTATTATCTGATTTTATTTGCCTTCAGTAGTACATATTTGTAACACTTTTGGCAGGACTTAGGGGTACAAAAGAGCTTGTACTGTAATTTATACTTCAAATGGCAATCTAATATTCTTGATATTGACCTCACTGGCTTCTTGTTACCATTAAGACCTTGCCCAGAGGAGGACAAGGGAAGTGGTTGTGGCTACCTTATGTTCCTGCCTCTGTGGGCTGATGTGAGCCAGGGAACTCAGTAAGGCACAATACCTTAGATCATTTTATTAACTATGCTTATTCCATGTATTCTTTGGAATGCCTGTAATATGAAATGAATGAAGCAAGCAAGGGTGAATAGATTTGCCTGCAGACCATTTAATGCAGAGTCATCTAGCACCCATTGTTCTCTTTTCAGAATTTACCCTTTGGACTCTTATAGCCCATTGTGTTTCTTTATTCATATTGTGATAATATAGTTATGTTTACTTATTAAAATTTTCTCTTTTCTCTATAAAGCATAAGTGGATATCATATCAAACTTAATAACACTAAAATTGAAGGGTCTGAGATGCCCAATAGGTAAATGAAAACATTGTCAAATAATGTGAACTTATAGCAAAAATCTAGCAGTCATTTATTGATTCTTTATTCTGGCACTAATAATTCATTTGATTGTGCTTTATAAATGCATCTTTAGTATAACAATGAAGTATGGAATATATGTAATGATTATTTTATGGACTAAACGAGCTTAAACCCAATACAATATGGAGCTATCAAGTACTTTTGTAATGAAATCATGATATGTTGTCTTATTCTTCACTTTCAATATAATAATATTGATCACTGATCTTTTCACTACCTGGGGTGTTTATATAGATTAAAATTTAAAAATAGATTTGAAAGTCTATTACAGTTCTATATTGCTGATTATATTAAACCATTTGCAATTAATTTAAATATTTTCAGGTTATTTTTCTTAGGTCTTAAGAATTGAGAACCAAGACATTACTTTTAATTTGTATTTGCTTTATAGCATAGCCTATAAACTAGTGAATATGTTTGCATAGGTATCATGGAGTCCCAATATAAGTGGTCAAATCAGATGAAAGTTTATTTCTCATAGTCTGAAGGTAGATATTCCCAGGAATGATGAGATAACTTTGTTATATCAGGATATGTAGGGAGCCAGGGTTTTTTCTGGTTTGCTGGCTCTGTTATCTGTAGAATGTTGTCCTCATCTCCATGAGCTGACATGGCTTGCCACCAAATCCATGTTCTAAGCAGCAGCTGGAAAAAGGGGCACATGTAGTCCTTTTATAGAAATGTTCTGAAATTTCAATGCATCTGTTTTCCCCACGTCCCACTGGCCAGATACATAGTTGCACTTAGTTGAATGGGAAGCTGGAGAATATGATCTATTGCAGGAGCCATGTTCCCAGCTAAAATGTGAGAGCTTGACTGTACGGAAAGGTGGTTATTGGAGAACAACTGCCAGCTTCTACTCAATCTATTTTCAAATTAAATTTCATGCTTGGGCTTGAGTTAGGTTAAATATATATTATCATTTTTGACAGTTGGAAAAAAAGCCCTATATACTTGACTTTATGCAAATATTCCATATATTTTTAAGTCTCTCTGACTCTGCTCAGACTGTAATGACCTTCACCATTTCTTTTCTTCTACTTCCTTCCTTCAAATCCCAATTCAAATATTATATGTGACCTCCTCAGTGAAGAACTCTTTAACTCTAGCTTTAACTCATCATTTTATCCTTGCTATTCCATTGTAACACAACATGTGTATTCCTTTGTGGTAGTATCTAGTAAACTCCCTCAATTTTTTGACTGCAATTTCCTTAAGGGTAGAGTTGATGTCTCATTGATCCTTCTCTTCTCCATGGTACCCTTCATATAATAGGTTCTTGATAATTCTTGATATTTTCTGATTGA